TCAACCACGTTTTCTAAACTTATATGCTAATGGGTATACGTACGTTTTTGCTGTAATCGACTGCCAAGGCTAGTGATTATTGCATAAAAAACTACAGCAAAAATACAAGTATACACTAGTATATATGTATACTAGTTATATACGTGTATGTTTCCACAAATAAATGTGGTAACTCTACTATGCAAAACGATATTAGAATTAACAAAAAATTTCTATGGTACGCGTGACTTTACAAATTATTTTTATTCAATAACTTTAAAAAATGCGCGGTATGAAATATCGCGAAACAATGTACAATGCACACACCTAAACGCACACACAGGTGCAATGTACATTGTGCAATCACTAGCAAAATAACAGCCGCCAATAGGGAAAAAAACTAAAACTAAACCCACACTAACTGTTTCTCACCCATACGTGTAACACCTGGGCACACGCATAAATGAGAACGCAGAAAGCATAGGTGGGAGAAACGGGGGATTAGTATATTAGTTGCTGAAAATCCTGATCTAAAAAACATGATTAAAATATAAACACATAAATACATTTTTATAGAATTTATCTAAGCGGACTAATGACTCTACAAATTATTTGAAAAATGACGACTTTTAATATCTTTTAATATCTTTGAATGTCTTTTCAAAACCTCGGACGACTCCTTTCATTAAGTTGGCTGTTCTAATGAAAGAACTGGGCTTCGAGCCACCACTGAACTGCTAAAGTCTATCCGTCGCGAATAAGTTTGTCTTCTTGCTCATTTATTTATAATATCGAAGTATCTATAGAAGAAAAATTTACATGCTCATAATAACTCGAACAAAATACGAAATATAAATGAAAGTGCATTAATTATTTGTACTGTTAATTAAATGAATTTAACCGATGAAACAAGAAGACCTATCCTGAACTAATAAAATATACAACAAATTGTACAAATTTCATGAGTTATTCCTAAAAAAAGAAATTACTCATGTGCTCGTCAATAATTTGTGAATATAATTACAACCAGTAGCTCGTGCCGATTAGGACCTTTCATCCTCGACATGATTGAGCACCGGAGGGACTTTAAATTTTTTGACTCACTCGTTACCAACCGTTATATCACATATATGTGATATTTCACAATTAAAATAACGCATATATGAATATGAACAGTTAGCATTAGAAGTTCTACGGTGGCTCCAAACACTCCTACTTCGTAGCAAGTATTGCAGTCTGACGATCAGGGAGATCCTTGATTTGTTGTTGAAGAAAATCCATCGAAGAATTCATCCAACATCTTTGAAGGGAAGAGAATCCATGGTTATATCTGTAAAATAAAATTGAACAAAACGATAAGTTATCTGGAATATTATTCAAAATCACATAAAATATAAATAAAAATGAATACTTACAATGCATTCCAATGGGATGCAGCTTTATTGCACCATGGCAATGCACCTCGCGTGAATCTAATAACGCGGTATAAACGAATATAAGAAACTATAGATGAGTTTCTTATCGCGAAACCGAAATTTGATTATACGACGAACAACACTGATTCTATAATTCGCGTTTGATTGTAATTTATCATTCGCCCGATCACTGATTCTACAACTAATTCAATTGAAAGAAACAATTTAAAAACTTCACTGATGCACTCACTGACTTTAATACGCGAACAGTCTGTACGACTGTTTTTAGATAAAAATACAACTTTACTCGAACAAACTCTAATACAATAACTGCATTGGTCGCAGTTAATTTAATGTAAATAATTCTGAAAAATAGTTCGCGAAACGCGACAGAGTTGAAATAAAACGAACGAACGTGCTTCTAATCCGTGATTTTAATTATATTTAAACGACACAACACTCCCGTACATTGCTTCGCGCGCGATTGCAATCTGAAACAGAAATAAAAAAAAAGCAATAACTATTAATATCATGACTATTACAGAAAAGTATTAAAATTTTGGACGAATTATTTAATACAAAAATATACTCACTTTGATGAATGCACGATGAATGCACGATGGGTCTCCTACCCTGAGGATGACGATGAGCACACGTTGAATACCGAATAAAAGAATTTTTTTCCAATTCCAATTCTTTTGTATTTTGTTTTAACGATGCAACACACGATTACATCATTGCCCACGCGACGCACGATTGCAATGATATTCTGAAATAGAAAAAGATAAAGAACAATTAATATCATTGTCTTAATAAAAAAAATCATTGAAATTATCATAGAAATGTTTGATAGAAAAATATACTAACTTTTAGTCTTCGTTGATGATTGCAGGATGGGTATCCTACCCTTAGGGATGACGATGTATAAAATAAAATGAAATAAAAATTCTGTAAAACTGAAACATACTAAAGATTATAGTACAATATTTCCTGTAAATCATTTCTGAAGGCAGAACACACATTATCAAATATTACATCATAAAGAATCAATATTAAATATAACAAGAAAATGTATTAATCTATGAATATTGACTTAATTAAAAGTAAAAGTTATCAAATATTTAGGAAATGTACCAAAGTATGCAACTATTTGGTTGATAGTGCTTTCTTTATATTTTAATATATAAATTCAAGCAATATCAATTGTCTTTTACTATTTATCTAAAGTAGACAATAACTGTAACTGTAAACTCAATAAAAAAAAGGTGTACGTTAAAAAATATCTTTTATATTACCAAAAAACAACGGGACGACAAACTTTCGTGCGATCTCCAGGACGGACGCCATGAAAAGAACGTGATTGGCTGATCAGTTGCAGTCTTGTATTTCAAATGTGATCGTACAGAAACTCATTAATTAAATAAATAAAATAATATGATATATATAAAAAAATAACTGATTATAAAGTGATATATCTGATAATATAAGTTACAGAAAGTTATTAGAAAAATATTGTTAATTGATGGTTGAAAATAAATGAATATTTTCTTACTTGAAAATTAAAATTGTTGTTAACGTCTTATGCACGCACACTATCTTACTTCACGTCACACCTACGTTACTCGTCCTTCTTCATAACCACGTTAGTCAAGTTTGATATGTGTGATAATTTATTTATTAAATAAATAGAATAAATAGAATAAAGATAATATATAGAAAAAAACTTTGTCGTATCGTAGAGAATAACACAATAACACAAGACGAGAATTATCGTAATAGACGTTTTTGAAAGAAATGACATGCGTGCCCTCTTTGAAAGCATTGAAATTAAAGCAGTAATTTAGTACCTAATCGATAATGTAGATCATTAATACGATTTCTTTATCGATACAAATTATCCGGATTAATTCTTTAAAGATGGCACACATATCAATGTTTTTTAAAGATATCACATTTGAAATACAAGACTGCAAATGCTCAGCCAATCACGTTCTCTTCATGGCGTCCTTCTTGGAGATTGCACGAAAGTTTGTTGTCCCGTTAATTTCAAGTTATTAACAAATATTTTTTAATGTCACTATCAAGTTTTGAATACGTGAGTGTTTCCGAAACGAGATATTCAAAAATTCGGAAGATATCCGTGAAAATAAAATCGATATTTGTCAACTAGTCCTACGAGTGTGAATTTTAGGTTACCGAGCATTGACAGAGTACTGTACGAATACACATTCCCAACCTTACTAGTGTGTTTACTTTTTGATCTTCTTCATATTTGCCAAGGTGTTTATCTCTTTTGTTTTTGTTGCGTAAAGAGTGAGGAGGAAAGAGAAAGAAAAATAATATGAATAGAAAATGTATATTTATATTTCCAGGAAATTCTTCGGGTAAAAGATTATACAATAACAAAAGCACAGCCGGTCGTTCGACACTCAAGGATGGATAAAAATCGTCATGATATTGTATATTTCGGTGAGTAAATACTTTGAAAGCTTTTTCTTATCTATTTCGAATAATATGTGCCTCTAGGAGGATAACAATTCAAAAATATCCAAAATGAGGACCATACGTAATATATAATTATAAATATCATGGTGTTGTATAATTGTAGAGAACAGGTTTTATCTTTCACGCATTTCCGAAAAAAATAACCATCCCAAATGAAGCTATTAATCGATAGGACGATCACGCAGAACTCTATGATCGACGATCAATCGATAATCATCCTAATCTAACGCTAATCTAACATTAGTGTTGCTCACTGTTGCTATTTATGTGTCTCTCTTGCTGTTACTTTATGATGGTCGCCTTTTCTTAATTATGATCATTAGAGGTTTGTTCCTTTGATCGTACCTTTTACAAATTTAACCTTCTTTTCTTAGATTTGGAAAGTTTCGAAGGTTAATTTGGTATTAGAAATAGATCTTTTTTATTTCTTTTCTATCCTAGCTAACAGGTGATTATCAAAAGTTGAAGGTGTCTAATTGTCAGTTAGTTGTTTCATTTTATTTTCAACTATTAGAAACAGATTTATCTTATGAATTATGGTCTTGGTACTTAAAAAATTTTTTTTTTAGTTTTTATGAATTCCATTAAACAAAAGAAAAATTTCTACACATCCATGACGTTAGAATGAAATTTCTCGTAAAACTGTCAACGAGTTTAACTCTACAGGCCAAAGTTATGGGAAGGTTTACACGAATTACATCGTGAAAACAAGCTCTTTGAATGAATTCGAAACCGTGTCGTAAAGCGACAACTTGTCGTACAAGATGGGACTTCTTTTTTTAGGAGACTCCTTGAAAATTGTTGAGAATATAAAAGAGGAAGAGGATTGTAGCGAGAAGGTAAAATGAAACTGAAATAAACAGGAGAAAAGATTGCTTTTATTAGTGAAAGAGAATTCTTTAGTTGACTGTTATTAATCGACGATTATCGAGTGGTATCAAAAATTCGAAAGGGTGGACATCTTATTAACCAAATTGGCTTAAGCTGTTGTAAAAAGAAAATAATACGATCGTGTTGGAGCTTAACACATTCCGACCAAATTACAAGATCTTTTTCGCGACGAATTATTATTTCGAATAAAGAAATATTTGAAATATGTTGAATGAAGTTGAAGTTTTTTCTTCAATTTATTCTTTAAGATTAGACAGAAATCATTGTGACATCATTTTATTATTACTGAGAGTGATTAGTATAAGTGTTATGAAAAATTAGGATAAACGTTTGGTAGTAGAGAATGAATTGAAAAAGGGTGTTCAAAGGATGGCATAAAAGGATTGGTGTGTCCCTTTTTTACAAGAGTCTATAGAGTAAAGCTTTAAATGTATTGAAAACGCCACACAGGTTGAATCCAAAATCAGGTATTGTTAGACCCTTTGACTTCCCATCGCACCAAATGATGGATGAAACGAATCGTTCGAGTGACTCGAGTTTGAAACTCTAGTTCATCTGTTGAGGCTTAACGTCGACTTCCTGGGACTACAAAGTTTTAAATAGAACCTGTAAGTTCATCGAAGTTAGGCTTTACGTTATATATGTCACATTTATTTCTATATAAATATATGTTTGTGTATACGTGTGCCCGTTATGTGACGTCCGCGTCAGATAATAATTTCTGATAATAATAATAATAATAATAACGGACACGTGTATCGAGTGTCAGAGATATATTCGTAGGCGTAACGCAAATTTCGTTGCAAGCTGAAATGCAATGACAGGAATCCAATGATAAGTTCTATCTGCTCGACTTCAAATCGTGCTGTAAATCAATATTGCCTTGATGTTCTTTTAGAAAAATATCTTCAAATTGTTCACTGAAGATTTATCGTTACAAATTTTCCTTTTTGTTTGCTTTTGCATAAATCACTTCTCGATCATTTGATTTATTTCTACATTGTATAGAAATCATTTTTTAAATATTTAGAACGATGTTTGATTTATTATTATGAATTTTGTTTCGATTTAAAATGTGAAAGACACTTCCAAAAGTTTGAAAAACTACAAAACTGGAGACAAAAAAAATAGAAAAGAAAAAGAAGACAATAGGTGAAAGGTTGAATTTGAAAATTTCGAAGAAAACGACATGCCTTGTGGCATCCTTTAAATAGAACTCATTCGAAATACGAGGATAGGGGTATAGAATTTCTCGTCTTGTAAAAAAAGGATACGACAGAAAAGGTTCAAAGGTGGAGACGGGGATGAGGAGTTTCGTGGTAGAATGGGGGGGGGGAAGGGACTAGGGGTTTTTAAGATCACCAGAGAGAAGAAAACAATTCCCATGGCAACCCTTTCCACGTGATTAATGTATGCAAAGATAGCGCAGGAAGGTGAGTTCCAAGTTTCTAGCCATGCCCATCCCCAAAATATTGGATTGTCCAAGTGGAGTATTAATTTTAAAAGTAGGGGATTGAAAAAAAAAAAAGGTTTGTGAAGAAAATAAAATACTCGAATGTACGAGAGTTCCCATTATAAATGCTCCTGGCTTTAGTTATCCATTGTTGAGTCACGCTAGGTGTGCTCTCACAAACCTGTAAATTCGAAAACATTTTCCTAGGGGGTTGGGCAAGGAAAAAAAAATAGAAGAAAGAAACGGGGGGGGGGGAAAGAAAAAAAGCAAGCCACAGGACGTCGCCTTCCTTCCCCTCTCTCCTTTCCCTCTCTCCTTTCCCTATCTTTCATTTTTCTCTTTCTATCTTTTTCTTCCCCTTTTTCATGAACAACACAGATCCGTCCGACAGAAAATCTGATTCTTTTCCTTTTTCTTGACCGCCTAACGTAAGACAGATGGGGTTCGTCGATAAAGAAATCGGTCCATGCTGATTTTTGGTAGATCCTAACTATACTGATTCTGCGCGTATCTACAAGTCTTAATGAGCTGTTAAGTTCATTTTTAAACTCGACCAGGTGACTAAGATGCTTCAAATATTTATTGGAATTCTCTTCAAAGATTTAGGTTCTCTTTCTAATCACTTTTCTTCATTTTTCAATCTTAATTAGGGAACAGTTAGTTTATTTATATTAACCGAACGATGATGTAAGAGTTGAATGAAATGAAAGTCAATTGACAACAAGTTTACATCACATATATTAAAAATAAACGTAATTTTAATGAGATACGTAATAAATTCACACATGTAATACTTTTGAAAGTATAAGGGTGAGCAGGAAAAATTGACATCTGAATCTTGTACTATCTTTAACAAAAAGAAATGCCGACTGTCGGCCTTAAATCCAAAGTCTCAACGGTTCAACGGTCCTCACTGAGATTGATTAATTGAAGGTTAAAGGGTTCGGAGCGTTAAGTGGTTCAGTGAAACGTTCCTCCTTAACGCTAAAGTCTCTCGCTCTCTTGTTGGATGAGCCGGCATCGCACCATGGCTCATATATTTATGCGTTCGTGTGCGTGTGCGTGTGCGTGTGCGTGTGCTTCGTAGAGAATCAAAGCCGCTCGAAAGGAAGGACAAATAAAAGGAAGAGCAAAGGAAGAGAAAAGGAAGAGAAAAGAATGCGACCTCGACCGGTTACCGCTTGTTTCGTGTCAAAACACGACGCTAATGCATCATTAAAGGAACGCGCCCTGCCATGTCAATGTAGCGCCGGCCGGCTAAGGATTACTGGGACAGTTTATAATCGATTGGCTTATATATTTCGATAGATATCTTTCTTCTCTACGAACAAGTATACTAGTTCACATTACTGTTTTTCTAAACAACTTCTTCTCCCTATGTGTTCTATACAATTTTCTCTTTCTCCATTTATTCACGGTAGCCAATCTTTTGCATAATTCATCTCGCCAATCAGGAAATTTTCAACGTCGTTTCGTTTTTTTATTACATCCACATGATAGGAAAATAAATGATGCATGATTTCATCTTATAGTACTGTGCACATTTTCTTCTACAAGATTCTTTGATTCGTTGACTTTTAGTTTAAATGATATATAGGTTACAAGTTGGATAATAAAGATAGGTTCCCAAACTTTCTTCTTGATTCTCGGTTTTTTAGGCAGCAAAAGTATGACATAAATAAAGTTGTTATAAAAATAATAAGAATAATATTCTCGATCTCAGATAACGCATGAAGAGTATGAAAGTGTTGCAAAGGGGTTGTTTTAAAGGTGATAATGTGCAAGTACCTGATCGTAAATACCCGATGATAGTTATCCTTGTTTTGCATATCAGGTAGGATAAGGATACGAGGTTTGCTGAGGGGGAGTAGGGTTGTTGGAGAGAGAGAAAGCGATGAAATATCACAGCTGGTCTTATAAACGAGACAAGCAACCTCTAACGCCGCCCTGTTTTCTGCTACTTTGAAGTCTCGCTGTTTATAATCTGAAGAGCTTTAGGTGTTCCTACGTACGTAGAAATCGTGATAAATCTTTCGATCGGCAACACTTTGGTTGCTTGGGTTGGGTTATGTTCTTGATATCGAAGAAGAGAAGAAGAAGAAGAGAAGAAGAGAAGAAGAAGAAGAAGAAGATTCGCATCGCCAATGTCCAATCAGTACGAGTTGAGTCTAATTTAGAAAGTGCGACGCATAACGTATTACGATCGATCATGCCCTGTGGGCTTGGTTCAGTTCCTGGCTCCTCCAACACTTTCATGCACATACAAAAGAAAGCGAATTTGGTATCTGGACTCTCGTGAGAATAATCGATATTGGGTTGTGCTCGTTGTGTTCCCCTTTGGTACAATCCATGTACTACCTACCTAGAAATTACGAGTGAGAGTATCTTAAAGAATGCATCTCCTCAACCTACCAACCTGCCTTCCTACCTGCCTTCCTGCCTGCCTTCCTGCCTTCCTGTACCTCTTACCGATTGGATATATCTACCCTTCTCGAGAAAAAAAGGGGCAGCAACGATATTTAAAGGGACCCACCCGATCGATTTGTCATTCATCAATGCCTACTCCCAAACGGAATATACATTGTTATCATACATATTTATTCTTTTTTATTGTATGTAC